ACCCAGCCATATTCTTACTAATCAAATCACATTCCCTCTTTCCATGTGAAAAGCATGACAAATTTTGTCGGAGCATAAGAATGAGAAATTCTCAGGACTAGAGAGCACTGGTTTTCCAACTGTGAACTATGGGATCAGAGAGCAGGACGGAAGGCTCAGGAGTCAGGGCTCTGTGCACTTCATTACCACTTGTATCTTTTACATGTTGAGGTTCAACGTAATTTTATTTGAAAAATAGACATTTTCCCTCTAGTGAACCCATGCTGATACTCTAGTAGTCACTGCTTTCCTTTTTCACATGTACTGAAAATATCTGTGTAAATAATTCTTTCTAGAATATTGTTACCCAGAATTAGCTGGCTTTTTCTTAATGGTTTTTTCCCATTTTTGATCATCTTTTAATTCCTTTCCTCTTGACTACTTTACAGATGTTAGACTGAACAATCGTAACTTCAAGCTTTTTCATTGCTCTAAAGCATACATTTTCTGAGCCTGAGGATTCTTCTGTAAAACTAGTGAATGCTCTTTTACTGTCTCCCCACCTCCTTTTTGCTTTAAATCTTTCCAAATATGTCTGTTCTTCCATTTCTGATTTAAAGGTTTTTCTTCTCAAAAGTGACTGTGGAATCAGAATAGGAAGTAAATAATTCTGCTTTGCGTCTTTGTACCTAGCCTGCGTTTTTATCTGTCTATCCTTTCTTCCTCCCTGTTGCTTCTATAACTGCCACATATATTTTGTTGCACTAACCACACTTTATCATAATTATCACATGGTCATCTCCCTAGCAGAATGGAAGCTCCTTAGGTGACAGAATTGTCATACATCTATAAACCCTGATACCTCGTACAGTGCCTGGCAATATAACCTAGTGATTAAGAATATTCATTCTTTTATTCAGAAAGTATTTATTAATCAATTACTATGAGACTGACAGTTAATAAAGTGCTGGGGATACAGTGCTGAGCAAGACGGCTGTCTGTTCTCAATGTGTTCACAGTATTACAGGGGAGATATACATTAAAACAATCACCAAAACTAATATAGTATTACAAAATTAGGCAGCAAGCTATACTGATTAAATGCAGGCCCGGGTAAATAAAAGTCGACTGAGAAAATCAAATGAGTAGCACATTAGTTCAACCAACTTCGAACAGCTGTTCCTGATGGCATCTCCATTAGAAAGGCTACCTCCATATGCCCACAAAATAGGTACCCAAAAAGAAATGCTAACTGGCGAGGATGTCATGTCTTCAGCTCACTCTCTGTTTTCTTCTTTTCTGAACTATGTCTCTCTGTGTCTGACTCATATCCTTTGTTTCTGAATGAGCTAATTCTAAGGAAGCTTGTACTGCTATTTTGTCTCCTGCCCCACAGCATTGAGATCAGCTCATGGAGTGTGGCTGTGACCACATCTTTTTTTTTTTCCTTTTATACATTTTTTCTATTATTATTCTAAGAATTTTTACTCCCAACTCGTCTTGCAAGTCTGGCTCAAGCTTTGGAGTCAAATAAACCTGAGTTTGATTCTTAGTACCATCACTAATTAGCTACTTAGCTAGACTTTAGCAGATTACTTACCCCAAGATCCAATTTTCTCAACTATAAAAAATACTACATAACACTGTTGTGCAACTTGGTGAGATAATTTATATAAAGTATGGAGCTCAGTGTCTGGTACTCAATATTTGGCAGATTGGGTCATTCTCAACATCATCATCTTCATTGTAATAGGCAGTAATTAGTATTTGTAGAATTGAATTCATTTTTCACATTCTTATTTCCACTCTCATTTTTACATGTGTTAATAATTTTGTACTGGCCAAGAGATTTTATTACTAAACACACCTTTTAACTGCTGAAAGGAAGTGTTCTTACTTTTGTTTTTTGTTTTATTTGTTTCATCTTAGCATTTTAGTCAATCTACATTTTCAGTATTGTTTCCCTTCCCATAATCATTTTGCACTGAGTTAGTTTTTCTCAGGCACTTGGTGACACCAAAAGTTTCATCTCATTGCAGTTTACAGTGGAATTCATCCACAACATGATATGGCAAAAATAAATAAATAAAGGTTGAACACTGATTTTCCTTGGGTCCCCTTGTATTTGAGTCAGAGCAGTCTGAGAATCACTCCACTGATTCTGACAGTAAGGTGTCCTGTACCTCAGATGTCGTTAGATGGACAAGATGTTGTATTGTTTTCTATTAAGCCTTGGGAATTGTCTACTCATATTTATCAATGGGTATAAATTTGCGAAATTAAGATGTTTGATTTCTATCTGTCTAGAAAACATTATAGTGCTTTTATTTGTAGAGTCTGGACAAGTTTACACAGTGGCTCAACAACTAAGTCCCATCTTAAGTGTTATCATTGGAACAAAGCAGGCGCGTGCACACACACACACAGAGGCTTTGACCTTGATATCCTTACAATACAATGTAGGTGAATGCATACACATATAGGATAAATATAACATAAGATAAAGATCATTAAGTCAAATCATGAGTTAAGGCATTAATGATCATCTATAAGGTGGCAAAGACAGATGGTAAAGAGAAGAATCTCTTTGAAGAACAATTGTTTATTTACTTTTAGTTCTTTGCTTATGGACCAAGACAGGGAGTAATCTCATACAAATCCAATCATCTCAATAGTTTGCAGGTCAATGAATGCATCATGCTCTGTCCCATCTCAAGCCTTTGAGACCACTGTTGAAAATCTAGCTGAGAACCCCTAGAGATTCTTGAACAGGAGTGAAAACAGCATATAGCTCTGTGTGAAGGATGTTTAGATTTTTAATTTAATTTTTATTTTGAAATGAAATTGTTTGTTGTAATTTAAGTATGTAGGAATAAGAGATGTGGATTTTATTTCTAAGGGCACTTATATTTGGAGTAAACTAAATCTGTAAGTTCATTCGAGATATAGTTGTTCATTTGTGGGTGCCAATTGTTTTTATTCATGTTGCCCTAAAAATGTTGATGTTTTTAAATGTTTGCTAGAATCTTATTTCATGTTGACTTTTTTTTTTCATGTTGAGTTCATGTATTATCTAATAACAACCATTATTTTTTAAAAAAATCAAGCCAGGCTAATTTAAAGTAAAGATTTTGTTGTTGAAATGTTACCAATTGCACAAGGAAGCATAAACACCAATTACACAAGGAACACAGAGATGAAGTAAGAAGGAAGTATTAAAAAAATAAAGTGAATCATGTTAACCAAGTTGTAGGTGTTCTACATGGAGTCAGAAGTTTGGTGAGGTTCTCATAGGCAAGCCAAGAACTAATGAAAACAAATCTAAATGTCACAGAGCGACAAGATGGGAAAAGGAACACTTCCTGTTTGTCAGTGCAGCTTTTCTATCACCAAGGATTGAATGTACTTTAGGCAATTATACACTTGAATTCCTTAGAAAATCATATCTTTACAGATAGAAATATGCAGCTTGTTAGTAAATAAGAATTAACAAAAATGATAACCACAACCAATCAAAGAACATCCTAGCAGTGGACAGTACAGTTTAACCCATATGTATCTAAAGAAATCCCAAGGAAGGAAATAAATAGCAGATTACAGCAAGAGCAAACCCAGTAAAGGGGAATGTCCGTCTTTGTAGTATCACAGACGTAAGCTCTGAAATATTCAGAAATATAATTAAGCAGCTTTTGAAACTGCATTTCAGGGATCCTTTGTAATAAATTTTAATATGCACTTGCTACTGTGTTGTTTTCTCTGTGACAGTTTATCTACTTGAGGGCAAAGTCCAATTGTCTATTGGTTCTTTAATACATTCAGAGTTGTCCACTTTGAGGATTTTGTCCAATAACAAATATTCTTATCTAAATGTTTGACTTTTTTATGAAGAGAAGAGAATGATATCTGATGTCACCAGAGCATTTTAACTGTGTAATAGATGAACTGTTAAGATCATTAACCATGGCTGCAGTTATAATTAATGAAGTTTAAGAAGCAATAAGTTTAAAAGTTAAAGAATTAAAGTAGCTTCTGTATTTAGAACTTCCCTGATTTATCTCTTGGAATTTCTGCACTTATTCCGGTTTTGCTACTCATATTTGTAGCTCATATTCAGAGAGTACTTCTCTTTCTAAATGCTTTTTTATGAAGGAAACATATGTGGTGGTACAAGAATAATAAATGAAATACTGACTCAGGGCCCACTGATGGATGAGATTAATTTAGAAAAGAAATATAAATAGAAGCAGAACAGTTATGGGTGTAGGAGACATGGTTGTCCACATGAGCCGTTTTGCAGACAGTACTGTTTCAGGCACAGGTTCACATCAACTCCTTTGAGGGCTGCACTGATTGTTCCACTGGATGATGGTGAGAGCTTGCCAGCACTGCCCTCTGCTCCTTGTCTTCCTGAGAGCATGCTGACCTGACTGATTACTTCATATCAAGCCCTCATTCTTGGAATGTTCTGTAGGATAATCATGTTTGTGATCCCAATAGCATGGTGCAGCACAATGTTATTTTCTGGTGCATCGTTTTGCTGGAGCCCAGATGACAGGGCTGTTATTTCAAGGACAACATGTTTGCTGAGTTAGGTGGTGATAGCTTCCACTATGATGCCATCACCTCTGAACAAGGACACATTTCTTCCAACATCAGAGCTGCTCATCATGAGCTGAGTCTAAGGATAGCTTTCACTGATGGGCATCTGCAACCTCTAGTCCTTTTCATATCACACTGACTAAAAGCTCTAACAACTGCAGTTCCTAACATCAGGAGGCTAAGAGACCCAATTAACAGTCTTCTGTTACCAGTACATTTAAAAGCCTATCATTTTGATGACTTTGTTTTCCTTCCTGTGACCTCTCCTAAAGGGAAAAATAAAAGGAAATGATTTAACTCTTAAACACTTATTGGTTATGGGGACAAGATGATATACAATAGTTCATTCTCACCTGTGTCCAAGTAGGGATTTTGAGCCCCTGCCCATGTTACGTCTCTAATTTGCTACTTTGTGTTTCTAGATGACTAAGAATGGCACAGTAGAATCTGAAGAAGCCAGCACTCTTACAGTGGATGACATTTCTGATGATGACATTGATTTAGACAACACAGAGGTGGACGAGTACTTCTTCCTCCAACCCCTGCCAACAAAAAAACGGAGAGCACTGCTGCGAGCCTCTGGAGTGAAGAAGATTGATGTAGAAGAAAAGCACGAGCTGCGAGCCATCCGCCTCTCGCGAGAGGACTGTGGCTGTGACTGCCGAGTGTTCTGTGATCCAGAAACATGTACCTGCAGCCTGGCAGGCATTAAGTGTCAGGTAAGGATTTGGATTTCAGGGCATCCAAAGACAGGCATTATATGCCACCCCTCTAAAGAGGCAGTCCTGTTACATATAATGAAGTGTCCCACGTGTAGAAGAAACCTTTGTGGCAAGGCGAGACACGTAATTCACTAATTCGAGGAAATTCATGGGTATACTTAAAATGCTTATACATAGGGGAAGGGGATAGGGAGAGGGTGGTCAGTGGATACAGAATTACAGCTAGATAGGATGAATAAGATCTAGCATTCTGTAGCACTGTAGGGAGAATAGTTATTTATTGGATAATTTCAATAATTAGTAGTGAAAATTTTGAATCTTCCCAACAAAAAGAAATAATGAATGTTTGAGGTGATGAATATGCTAATTACCCTGATTCGATCATTGCACATTGTACACATGTACACAGATATCACAGTGTACCCCATAAATATATGTAATAATTATGTCAATTAAGAAAAAATAAATTTAATAAAACTGGGGGAAAAAAACGATATAATGTGAAACCCAAGCTGCAGCTGAGTTAATTAAAATTATTTTCCTCTTGGATTCACTTATTATACCAGCTTATTTCGCCTTTTTACAAATATCCAGGGAGATCATGACATCCCTAACATTTGAGTTTGTGTTTTCCGACCATCCATGGAGTATAAAATGATGATTGATTAGAGGTGGTGTGGACTAGTGGAGAAGTTACTAGGCTGGGACTTCAGCAAACAAAGTTGTACTCCTGTCTTTGCTGTTTGCTAGCTGTGTGAAATTGGCAAGTCAGGTAAACCCTCTGGGCTCAGCTTCTTCACCTCTAACATGAAGAGACTGGACTAGGTGAAGGATTGGTAAACTATAAACTCACAGACCAAATCCAACCTGCTCCGTGTTTTTGTAAATAAAGTTTTATTGGATCATAACCATTTTTTTATTATTATTATTTATGTATTATCTATGACTCTTTTCATGCTTCCACAGCAGAATTGAGTAGTTGCCGTAGAGACTGTATGGCCCACAAAGCCTAAAATATTTGTTCTTTGCCCTTTGCATAAAAGAGTTTACCAACTGCTGGTGATTGGTAACCAGATGGTTCTCTGGTCCCCATTATCTATAATGTCATTGGTGTTCTATGATTAGTTAGGTAAACTTGGCTTTCTCAACGAGGGGAGCCACTCAGGCAGGCAGAAGAGGAGTTCCTATCAGCTGAACAGTTGCTCAAGATGGATTCACAGAAAAGAGCTTCGTGAGTAAGAAAACAGCTACAGATTCTGGCTCTGACACCTGCTGCTAATTTTAATTGGGAAAAGGATAACTGTATCAGAGTCTGCCTTCTGATTTCCTGTGTTAGGATAAGGTAAAAGCAGAACAAGTGGCATACAGGTTACTTGATGGAGTCTGAGACATTGGCAAGTATCTCAGGCATACCCTTTGGATTGCCCAGAATTTCACTTGTCACCTGAGTGAAGAAGTCAATCCAATAACATTTGTTGAATCCAGTCACTACCTCCAGAGCCTAACCACTTGAATCATTGTGGGGTACTGATGAGCATACATTTCCTTCCCTTGAGAAGCTTATAGTTCAATGGAGTGGGAAGGGATGGGGAAAACCAGGACCTAAACACAGCCACAGTCATGAATGTGCACATCCATCACAGCCCTGCAGTGCACACATGCACCCATGCACCAAGGATCCGAACAAATGAGAAGGTAAACCAATGAGAGCACATTAGGAGGGTTCATGAGTAAGTGGTGTCGATCTGGACCCCTTGGGTAGAGAGGTTCATCCTATAATAAGCAAAGGGAAAAGCACATAGCTAACATGGGGAGCATCATATAAGTTAGATTGAAAACAGCAGGTGTGGATGCGTGCAACAGGTTTGCCCATTTAAAATGAGCATGTGAGCTGGGATGCAGCAGAAGTAAAAGGAGTTTGGGGATAGGATGGAAACATGGAAAACAGGGAAGGAAAATTAAAGGGATGGAGAGGGAGGGAAAGGGGAAGAATGGAGAAAGATTTAAAGACAGCACTGGAAGGGGTCAGTGAGCTAAAAATACATGCTTATACTCATAACCCATTTTTATTTTGAATATAAAAGTTTCAAAATTAGTGACTCATGTTTTAAGCCTTCACTTCCTCTTTTTACTTCTGTTTGCAGTTTGGTTGTCATTTGCTCTGGCATAAGTAGAATTAAGTGGATTACTTAATTCAAAGGAGTTGCTGAAAGGTACTGGATTTTTATGTGGTTTGTAATAGTTCCATGTTGCTAATCTGTGTTCTTCCTTCCAAGGTGGATCGTATGTCTTTCCCGTGTGGCTGCACTAAAGAAGGATGTAGCAACACAGCAGGTAGAATTGAATTTAATCCTATCCGTGTCCGGACTCACTTTTTGCACACGATAATGAAACTTGAACTGGAGAAAAACCGAGAGCAGCAAATCCCCACGCTGAACGGCTGCCACAGTGAGATAACTGCTCACAGTAGTTCCATGGGCCCTGTCGCTCACTCCGTAGAGTATTCTATTGCAGACAACTTCGAGATTGAAACTGAACCGCAGGCTGCAGTGCTGCACCTGCAGTCTGCTGAGGAATTAGATTGCCAAGGAGAGGAGGAGGAAGAGGAGGAGGATGGGAGCAGCTTTTGCAGCGGAGTCACCGATTCTAGCACGCAAAGCTTGGCACCTAGTGAGTCAGACGAGGAGGAGGAGGAGGAAGAGGAGGAAGAAGAGGAGGAGGAGGACGAGGATGACAAAGGAGATAGCTTCGTGGAAGGTTTGGGCACCCATGCCGAAGTTGTCCCTCTTCCTTCGGTCCTTTGTTATTCTGATGGCACCGCTATTCATGAAAGCCATGCAAAAAATGCTTCTTTTTATGCCAACTCTTCAACTCTATATTACCAAATAGATAGCCACATTCCAGGAACTGCTAACCAGATCTCTGAGAACTATGCTGAAAGAGATACTGTCAAAAACGGTACCCTTTCGCTGGTGCCTTACACCATGACCCCAGAGCAATTTGTTGACTATGCCCGACAAGCAGAAGAGGCCTACGGTGCCTCCCACTACCCAACTGCCAACCCCTCTGTAATCGTTTGCTGCTCCTCTTCTGAAAATGACAGCGCTGTGCCCTGCAATAGCTTATATCCCGAACACAGGTCCACTCATCCTCAAGTGGAATTTCACTCATACTTGAAAGGCCCCTCCCAGGAAGGGTTTGTCTCTGCATTGAATGGTGACAGTCACATTTCAGAACATCCTGCTGAGAATTCTCTGAGCCTTGCAGAAAAGAGCAGATTGCACGAAGAGTGCATCACATCACCCGTGGTCGAGACCGTCCCTGTCTAGCAGATTAAATTATCCTAGGACCAAGTCTTCTCCTAGGGAAGGCACTGTATTTAACTGGGTTTCCTGGGCTCATCGTTGTTTAAACTGCAGACTGAGAAAACCTGGACTGTGGTTAATCTCCCACACTGCATTTTGTTTTCTCCTTTCTAGCTACGTGACTGTGGCATTGCACAAATATAGTCTCGATAGGGATTTTAAAAAATTTCAGACTGTTTTGATAGAAAATGCTAAATTTTAAAAATTCATGTCTCACAGTTGCCTATCTGTCAAACTGTGTGAAATCTGCCAACCTGTGTAAATCAGAGCTCCAAGTTTTGGATTATCGGGCCTGTGCAAGATTATTAACTAAGATTGGGAAATAGTAAGGTTTAGAGTCCTAATTTTCGATATCTGAAGATGATGGGGACTTTTTAATGTAAAAGTAATTACTGTAAGAAAAAGATTTAATTGTTCCATGTGTATTTTATTTATGGTAGTTTAGAAACCATGTTTTGATGAAAATGAACAGTAGCATGTTCATTCAAGCTGAAGATACATAGCTAGTACCACAGAGCATGCCCACATGGATTGCAACTGGAATCCATTCACATTTTTATGATCGTGACTGATCAGATTTGCAAATACTTTCTTAAGGGTGAAATAGGCCTATTTTTGCTATTTTGGACAAATAAATGAGTCTATATGTGCAGGTCCTTACACACTTTTCTCTGAAGTTAAGAGTTAGGACAATCCTTTGGTGAGGGTCTAGTTTACTGCCCTCCCTCAGTTGACTCCAGAGATGGAGGTAGAAGGAATTGCCTTTCTTTTTTAAACAGCATCATCTTGGTTCTTAGCTTGGACAGCACCTTTAAACTCTACCCCCTACGTCAAAATGCACTTTAGTGCCCCTTCACGGTACCTCGTGTGGGGTGGGGACTGAGAACTCTTTGAGATAAAAAATTTAAAAAAATTTTTTTTTAAATATCTTTAACTATTATAAGGTTCATAGAAATAATATAGAGGAATCATCCAGTGATACTTATGAAGGAAAAATGACCTATTTTCCTTCGCCACTCTGAGGACCTAACTGGTAAATGCAGAGGAGGCTGAGGAAATATGGAAGAGACACAACGTCAACAACCAGCCTTTTCTACAGCGTGATCAATCTCTCTCTGCAAAATAAGTGTACAATGAGATTTCCACTTAGTGACTAGCTGATTGAAAGGGGGGCCCTACCCAAATACTCAACTAGGCCTTACTTTTCCGAAGTATTTTGATTTGTCTTGCCTGGGACAATTAGCAGAACAGTCCAGAATGCATTGCATACTTTCTAATTACCTCACGTTCTCTTATTAAAGGGAACAAATAGAAATAAAACATGCACTCCCCACCTTTAGATTACCTGCACTTGGTTCGTCGGAGGACTTCTAGGATCCTGTGTTCCTGTAAATTAATTTAGGTAACTAAATAGTGTGTTCTACCTTTTCTTTCAATGCAATATGACTATGCTAAATCTGTTTCACATTTTTGACCTTCTATTATATCATTTTACATGCTTTATGAGTATTTGAAATGTGGACATGCCTTGCTATTCAGTACCTGCATTACTACTTATTTTTCATGTCTTTTAGACTTGGGTGTTTAGAAATATGGATATAAATATATTGTAGATCTCAATTCCTTAAAAGTACTATTTTATTTCATTGAACTTAAAAATGCTTGATTTAGAGAAAGTCCTCCAGTGGAAAAGTTTCTACTAAAACTTGATTTGGGGAAAACATGTTTACTTGGCAGCTCTTCCACTGTGCAGTTGGTTCCTGCCCCTTCTCTACCCCACCACTGGGCCAAATTTATAACCATTAATATCAGCATTAAAGGCGCTTTAGGTTTGTCTTTATGTAAGTAGCAGTAATGAGAGCAGGGACGTTCTTTTAATATAATTAGCCCTTTTGCTCAAATCTCGGTAGTATAACCTGAGTTATCTGCAAAGTTACAGTTTAGTGCTTGATCTCCACATTTTTTTACCCTACTCCATACAATCTATAGAGCACAGGCCCAAAGAGAAAATGACAAGATTCTATTGTTCCTTCATTCAAGCACATGAAAGAATCATGTGTACTGTATTTGCTGAACCATTACAAGCTCTTGAAGTATCTACATGTGAAGCCCTCTGAGGCTGTTCCTGGAACACAGAGTGTGGGAGAGAGGGGAAGAGTCACCTCTGGCTGGAGCAGAGTTGAAGGGTACAATGACAGTCCAGTCTCTGAAAAGGTAGATATTTTAATTTTAGTTCAGCTTTATTTTCACAAGGTTTGAAGCCTACTTTTTTTATGTTTGGCTAGGTCTCTGCTTTGTAGTTTTTTTCCAAAAGGATGCTTAAAAAATAGAGTTTTTCACCTATCTGGCCAGTTGGTATAGAATGACACTGCCCTACCAAAAAAGATTAACCTTCCAACCGTGACAGCTTCCACTCCAAATTTTCATATACCTACTAAACCCCGAAACATCTCCCACAAACTACACACACAGGCTACCTATTGCAACACTCCCATATACCTAACACACATAGATACACACACATAAAATACATGCATACATACATTAGAAAAATGACAGGTTTTTAGCCAATGGCCAGTAATGAGCATTGAATTTTTCCCACCCTAGAATCTGATTGGGTTTTATGATCTAAAAATGTGGTCTAGGGCTGGCTGGTTAGCTCAGTTGGCTAGAGTGTGGTGCTGCTAAAAATGTGGTCTAGAAAAGAGGATAATTTTTAAAGCTATGGTTTGAAAATACTGCATCAAAGTTGAAAATAATACTAATGATGGAGTCATTTCATTTTTCCGTCCTTGCCTAGAAAAGCTGAGAGAGCACAGTATTCCATCTGACTTTTTTCGTCCGTTAATAGCCCTTCTATTCAACTGAAACTGCCCACACGCCAGGAAAGTGCTACGGTTATTCTAAGCTTTTGAAAAGGGGGTCAAGTTGGAATACTTAAAATCTTTATACTAAGACACAATAACCTGACCAGCTGCTGTTGTATTGCACCCATAGTATATCTAACCAAATTACAGTCTCCTTTTACACACAGCTCTTTAGTCATTCCCTGTCAATTGTAAAGCTTCATGCTACAGTCCCTGTTGGTTTAGCACCAGCCCTGTACCTTTATTTGGGGCTTAATTCCCAGTTATAATCCTGGCCAAATTGATTTGCAAGTCAAGTGGCTGGAGCAGCTTGCATCTCCTTTGTCATTCCCAATTTCCTTTGGGAGAAAGAAGTCAATGAGAGGTACTTAAGTTCCCTCTTTTAAGTTCCCTCCTTCCCCCCATCTCTTGATCATTGGTTATTAAGACAAAGGTGAAATGCATTTGTCTCATGTCTATTGGTTGACTGAATAATTCAGCTACTTTTTGAAGGCCATTCTATTCTTTGTGATAAAACTATATTTTTTGCAATGTGCCAGTCCCATCTAACATGTGAAACTAATGTTTCTTAGAGTAATAAAATCTTTGCAATTGTGTATGGCCCAGCAATACCCACCCACCCACCTCCTCCCAAAAACACGATGAGTTACAGAAACGCTGGCCACAAATTAATCAAGATTATTATATGTTAGTGTTCTTTAAAATTTTACTCTCTAATAGATGATTTCTAGGCAAAACTCTGGTTTAGGTATCATTAAACAGGAAAATATATCATGATTTATTTCCTATAAATTGATATATCACTGGATCTTTGATTTAAATTTCTGATATTATTGTACAATTTTATAACCCTTTGTTCTTGATATTTAGAATTTATTAAGTACCAATTCTTTCTTTCAAATAATATTTATTGAACATGTTAGAACAACTGTCCTGGGTTGTAAAAAGAGTGGGGAGAAACATTACGAATTCCAAGGGATGATGTTAATGAAGGGTGGCATAAAATAATCAAGCCTATTCAAAACCTTTTAATATATGATTTTTGTAAAGTGATATTTAAAAAGCTGTCATCAATTTCTGTCTAATTTTACGCAAACTGCAACTAAAAAAATGCTTCTTTTTCCTAAATTAATGGAACTCACTGGATCCTCCTTTCCTTCCCCCCCATCTGAAATTTATGAATTAAATTTAGACTCAGCTAGGACTGAATCAAATGAAAAAGATTTTCAGCTATTTCCTTCATCAGTGTTAGATCTATATAAGCAATGCTAAATTGATACCAGCAAACTCCTACCAGTCAGTTTCAAAGTGGGTTTGACTCATGCGTAACCCAAGAAATATTTCAGGAAACTTTTGAGACAACAATGTGGAATACAATCAGTCTTACTTCTATTTATAAACAGTCTATCAAAATAGAAAAATCCTGTTCCAAGTTCCAAAGACATCACCTTGCAGCAGGTAGAAAACAGAGTTCATTAGATCCTCTCTCTTTTAGCTATAGTTACAAACCATCCAATTAGCAAGTGGAAAATTGACATCCTCAGAAGTCAACAGGTGACTGCCTTTTTAAAAGATGCCATGAAGCCTTCTATTTCCTCAAACATAACTTAATGTTTCTCTTTAAAACTGCATTTTCTCCTTATTCTCTTGAAGATAGTTTACGGTGTTATTATAGTTAGTGTATAAAATACCAAGCTTAAATAGGCAGCAGCTTTGTGCTTTCAAAGGCACGACTTGACTATAATTTGAAATTGGAACTATCTGTTGTATTCTTACCACAACCAATACCAAAAGCTTAAAGCCTTGATCACTCTTAGTTCTAATACAAATTTGCGACTTCTGATTGCATTACTTTTTCTGAGATCTGCTAACTTGTGCTGGAGTAACTGAAATGCCTAAGCCAAAATGCCACAGCTTTGCACAGACAGCACAAGCCCATCAGATGTTTTCTACAGTGTTAAAGAATTTAATGGACTGAATATCAGCAATTTGAAAACTCACTACAATTATGTAAGTGTCAGGGTGGGGGTGAGGATGGAGTATAAGCTTTATAAGTGATGGTGTCTCCTAGGAACTATAAAAATGTTTTAGCAGAGCTGGGCCAGATCTTATTACACTAGCAAGACTAGAATCACAAATGGCAGCCCCATACCTAGAAGGGGCAATTATAATGTGCACACACTCACAGCCTAAATGGTGCTCACATCTGCTGGCCAACATACACATCAATTACACTTTACTATGTATATGTCATTTGATGCTTCAGAAAATAAAAACACAGACCTACCGTATTCTAAAAAAAAAAAAGTATATTTAAAGAAATCTAAACACACTTTATATTGGAATAACTGATAAATAACTTGCATTATTGGCCAAAGTAAAAATATGAAAATAAGAGCTCTTTAATATTTTATCTGCCAAATCTGTATATTCACTGTGACTGTTTAGAACAGTCACGTCACTTCTAAGCTTTACTTCAACTCCTCTCATGGCTTTTCAAACTAGACCATGAGATCGCCTTCCTAAATAATGCAAAACA